AGGCGGAGCGGGGGGGGAGGGAGGGGGGGGGGGGGGGGGGGCGGGGGGGGGGGGGAGTTAACTGACGGGGGCATTTTCTTGTTGAAGTTGCTGTTGCTAAAAGAAATCAACCTTTAGTTCACAGCTGTGTGCTCATTTGTATGAACCGCCGCCCACACGGCCGCCTACGCACATCTACACAAACAAAGTCGAGGAGAGAAAGTGGAAAAGTCAGACCAAAAAAAGTTTATTTTGATATTTAGCTCATTTTTACTTCTGTTTTTTAGGAGAAGAAAAAAAAATCCTCTGCAAAAAAAAATTGATTTTTATCCCAACACCAACAGAGCTATAGCTGCGCCGCACGGTGCCTCGGTGGTTTGTGCTCTGGCCTTACACCTTGACCATGTCCACTAAAGTACTGCTCCTTGTGTGGTTCTATGGTGCAGCGGTTAGAACGCCTGCCTTGTAAGCAGAGCATCCTGGGTTTGATTCCTAAATGAACCACATAACCCCAATAGCGCCTCCTGTGGCAGCCTGTGTAAATTGCAAAGACTCACTCTGCAAATGTCCTCACTGTGGACCAGGAGGAGGGACTTTAATTTTTTTCATTTTTCCATGACCTTCCTGCAGGGGGCGGGGTTCCTCCAGGTCTACTCTCAGATTAAGGGGTTAATTATTCACTCTAAATTCACCGTAGGTGTGAATGTCAGCGTGAATGATTGTTTGTTTGTACCAGTGTGACTGTGATGGAGCGGTGAACTGTCTGCGGTTTAGCCCCGCCCCTGCCTGTTGATTGGCCCCAGGTCCTCCCACGCCCCTCAGCTTTCCTGTGTAAATGATCACAGTCCAGACTAAAGGAAACAATAAGTGTCTGAAGTTGCCCCTCTGGGGCTTTAAAGTAGTTTCAAGAAGGGCAAGTGGAATTTAATCTTTGATATGTGTGTGTGTGTGTGTGTGTGTGTCATTCAAAGTGGTGAAGGCTGTGAGCAGCTATTGATTAGCATCATTATTCATGATCAGCTGTCAGACGGTGACACTCGGTGCATAAATACATACATCAGTGTGAGAGTGGAAATATATATGAGCCTTATCCACACACACATACTCAGCTTTCATTCTAGTGGTGCCATAAATCAACACGTGCATCTGGGAAGCCACGGAGCGCACACACACACACACACACACACACACACACACAGCACCTATCTCTCCCAGAGAAGAAATATTTTCACTCTGTTTAATTAGTTAAAACAGGCGGCGCCTCGTTAGTGATGGAGAGGATTAATCAGCTGATCAGAATCACAGCCACGCCCCCTGGTGGTACCCAACCTTCCCACCAGGCCTTGGTGAGTACAACATCCTACAGTGGACCAGGGCGTGGTCAGTGGACCAGGTATTGAGCCACTCGGAGGTGCAGTACCAAAGTTGTCCAGCAGTCTGTCAGAACCAAACCAGTCCAGTTCCCAGTTTTCTGAACTCCTTCAGGTCGGTTCCAGAACTTTCTGAGCTGCCCTTGTCGGTGCCGTCTCCTGGACAGACGTATCCACTGACATTAACATTTCTCCTCGCTCTGAAATATGACTTGAAACGTGTTTGCAGAATTTATGTGCCGCCGCCCTGACGTTGTCCGTCTTCCTCCCCCGTCTTTTCTCCCCCCCTCTGACAGCGCCGCCTCACACGGAGCGGCGACGGTCAGGGTTTATGTGCCTTGGCGACCGGCTTCATATCGATCGGAGACTAAATGAGTGCTGGAGGTCCCAACAATATCACGGCAGCAGTTTGATTTAATGAGCGGCTGCTGGGATGGAGGGGATTTTTAGGCTTTAACTCAATGCTCTGTTGGATCCTCTTTTCATTGAAGACCTGATCAAATTAAACACACACACACACACACACACACACACACACACTCACCGACTGTTTCTGGCCTTTTAAAAGATCAGTTTTAGGATTTCACACAGTCGTGAAGATATATCAGCAGTGTTCCTCAAAGACTGGGTCGCGACCCTCAGGTGGGTCAAAAGACTTTTTTTTGGGTCATATAGTATCGACATATATTTTATATATTTTATATACACACACACACACATATATATATATATATATACTGTAAACAGAAGGAGAAGGAATCAAACCAACAAACTTATGTACTGTATGTTCTTTTTGTTGCAGAACAAGTGCACTGAGGAATCAAACCAACAAACTTATGTACTTTTTGTTGCAGAACAAATGCACTTCCCAACTTTTACCACCAGGAGTCCCAAAAATGAAGGTTGAAAAGTGAACACAGACGGTGAAACATTACTTGAATGTAACTTATGATGAGATTTCATTCAAAGGAAAAAGTTGGTTTTTTTCTCCACATTTTAGAATCAATCAATAAATCAAATAATCCTGATCAATCAAACCTGTGATTAACATTTCTATCTACTAATCATTTGACAGTGACGAGATCATAATAACGTCTTGTTGCACAGAATGGTTGGTTCCCTGTTTCTAAAAAATAGACAAATGCTGCCACCTGCTGCACGGAGCGTTCACTTCATAACCACGACGTGACGTCATAAATATAAAGGTTCCGTAAAGCGCTGAAACATTGAGGTAGATGTAGACTGTCACAGTCACCAATGAATCTCTGCTCCTGATGACGTCATTAGGACAAAATGTCTTTGTCAAGAAGTCGATACGAACAGATTAGAGAGAAGAATGAAATATATTCATGTTGAAAGAACAGTCACAGTGATGAGGTCTGGACCCTGTGGTCATCACCACAACCTACAGATACACGTGGATTATTTTTTCAATCGCTAATCGATAATGATCTCGTCCTGGTGGCCGATATTAGAAATCGATAATGATCTCGTCCTGGTGGCCGTTATTAGAATGACATTTTACTGTGTTAAAAAAAAACAAAACAAAAAAAACTACTGGTTCTCATTTGACTTCATCACCAGTTTGACACTGGGTTTGTGTATATATTTGCATATATACATATATATGTGTGTACACCCAGGCTCACATACATACGTACATATACATAAACATATTTATAGTGTGTTATTTTCCAGAGGAGACGCCTGTGTTGGTGCCGTCGCTGCTTCAGGAATCTGTGCATAAACGCTCCATTCATTCTCCTAACAAACCGACTGTTGCTCGTCTGTTGCTGTCGTCCCGACTCACATGAGTAATGTAATTGACAGGCAGCCAATCAGGTCACAGCACTGGCACAGAGAAGGAGGGAAGGACGGTCATAACAAGTTAGGACGCTCCCCGGGTTAAGAACCGTCCAGAGACGGACCGGTCCAGGCAGAAAAACTCCAGAGAGAGTAGAAAAGAAGAGGCCGCAGACGGAGGTGTGGATGAAGTCGGACTAGACCAGGATCCACCAATGGGGGCACAATTTACCCTCTGCTGCTGCCACTTCCTGAAGTACAGCTCGGAGGAGAATGCAGCCATCATGCGGTGAGGTTGATTTGGACGAGCAGCAAAAACTGTTGATATGATGATTGATGATTATGGTCTGATTATTCACAGAACAGCTGTGGATTCATCCTGATTAATCACTGTTAATTTTGGTTGATTGAAATAAATCAACACTCCTGAATGTAACCTGAATGTTCCCACAAAGGAACTGTGAATCAATCACATTTAATCATGATTAATCGTGATAAATCAAGACAAATAAACATGCCTAAATGTGTTACTGGAAGAGAAAGACCGTTAACAGCAGGTAGGTGGCAGTGTTTCACACCTGTTCTTACTTCTGACCAATCCAAACGATGGAATTATTAATATGGAAAAACGTCGAGGAAAACACGGAAAATTATAACTCCAAATTTAGCTACTAGGAGTTGACCTTTGACCTCTGCTCCTGTGGTCAGTGTGAACAGAACCTCAGGCTCCAGACCACTGCAGCTGTTACCCAGTGTTTCCAGCGACAGCGACACTGAGGAGCAGAGGCAGAGTCAGAAGAACGGTTCTGGTCCGCTCCGAGTCGGTGACGCCAGACGAGAGTCGGACCGAGAGCTGCAGGCCTTCATCAGCATGAGAGACAAGACCGACAAGGCCACGGAGGTGAGTGGACCAGAAACCAATCAGGTGACGGGACGGGTCATCATCACCACGGTGACTGATTAGCATTAGCCACATTAGCCACTGCACTACTGATTTTTAGGTATTTTTATTTGTGTACTCGCCAATACTTCATTGAGCTGAATGTTGAATGTTTTTAAAAATTTCTGTTGATGCCACTAGATGGCGGTACATATCAAATGTGCCAAATCATCTTTGAAAGTTTAGGTTTTATCTCGTACATTTGATTTATATTATTTTTTATATTAAATAATTAAATGAACTTCCACCAATAGTTAACTTGGCCGGAAAGTGAGCAGAGCTTTAACACCAAGTGAAGTATCAGGCATCAGTTATGATACGTGTCTCATTAATATGACTAACTTGCTTTAATTTTGGACTTTTTACTAAACGTCGTCAATCTTTAATATTGAATAAAATTTTCTGAATCTGCGGCATTAACTCTAACAGAGATTTCCAGATTTTTCCAGAACGATAAACAACACAAAGATCTATCTTCAAACACAGTCGTTATCAGCTGATCTCGAAAACAGGTCAAAGGTCAAGCGACAGGTCAAACACACACTTCTCCAAGTTGTGTTTCTCTATTACTCATGTGATTCTGCGTGGTGAGTTTTAGTAATTCAGTCAGTCAGTAATTCCCCGTCGTGAAACTTTGTCTTCACAGCAGCCGTGAGTGAACGTGACCTGGATTTTTTGGGAGTAACTTAGTTGTTTGTTTACTTCGATCAGGAGTTTTCAAAGTCAGACCTTGTGAGTAACGGCAGTATTTACTTTGGTCAGTACTCCTTCAAACCTGGTCTTGAACACTGAACCAGCTGTGACCAATTACCTGAAGGTTTTTTAATTCAATTACGTCTAAGGCTCTGAACAAAGTAGCTACAGTACACACTGTACTGCAGTTACTTATTCAATAAGTGACCCACTACTTTTTCTCACAGTGACACTGAATACTGTGTTTGTGTACTCTGGTACTTGTCTGTACTTCTCGTCTGAATCCTCCACTTTTAGATCATAATAAAATAAATAAATAAATAAATAAAAGAACCGAGTACTAAATAAAAACACTTTACTGCAATAATGTTAGTACCAGGAACTTCTAATGTCTAATGTCCTTAAAACACATACAAGGAAGAGCACCCCCTACTGGATGCTACATAATCAAATGAACAAAATATTAACTTTAACACACCATTTTAAGTCCATTAATTTCACCACTGATCCTCTAGGGGTCAGGCCAGGAGAGACGACCGCAGCTGAGACTAAATCAAAAACAAAGCTCTTGTCAAGTGGCCAGTTTTCGTAAATGCAAACAGACAAACGACTGTCGAAACTCCTGAAGCTGCAGGAAGAAAACATAAAAAATATATATCTGTCACACAGCGCCACACGGTGTGTTTTCTAATCTCTGCAGCCGACAGTGTCAGGTAGATCAAATATTAATTTAATTAAATACTGTACCACTGGGGGGCAGCAGATGGCTATTACAACAAAAACAAATGGTGAAGATATTATTTGTGTCTTTCTTTAATTCCTGCGAGGACATCAGTATTGTGTTCAACTAAACAGGCCACATTAGTATTTAAGACTGAAAAAAGCTTGGTTTAAAGTGCTTGGATTAAGCTGAGGTCAGGACACAGAGGACACAGAGGACACAGAGGACGTATTGTGGTAATACATCTTTTAAACGATTCCTAATTCAAACGTCAGGCCAACAGAGATTTATTAGATGATATTGAATTAACTTCTTTAGCCTCGGTTTGAAGATGGTGCCTGATATAAACTTAATATAATCCAAAGTAGGACACGTTGGTCTGTTGACGTCTTTGTCCGTCCATGACACTGATCCAGGGTCAGGTTTCATTTAATTTAATAAGTCGTTCATTTTCTACCGTTTGATCCTTTATTGGTCAATGGGGAACTGGAGAACCGACTGTTCCGTCAACAACGGAGGTCATTTCTTCAACATTAACACGTCACTCTCTGTAGCCTAACAACGTGCTACCCACAATGCACTGCTCTCCTTCAGGCCTGACTCTGTGTTCGGATGTTTTCTTCAGGAATGGGAGAAGCTGAATTTCGACATTCACACTTTACGATACGCAAAACGAGAAGTCAGATCGCGATGGAAAAAAATCCTGGAGCAGCTGGGTGAGAGACTTGAACTCGTCATATCATACCATAAAAAAAGACCCATGAGTGTAATACTTGGACCTTCCTGCAGGGTACCAGAACGAGGTGGACGTCTTGTTGTTGCTGAACAAACAGCGACGGTTCAGTCGGGACCAGGAACATTTCAAGAAGGCGACAGAACTGCTGACACATCTGCTGAATCACACCTCGCTGTTTCCTCCTGGAACTGGGCCTCAGAACCGATACCTCAGTACCATGGTACTGCAGTACTTTATACTAAGACGAGTCCTTTTCATGATCTTTCTCTGCCATCATTTTTGTCTGTATTCCAATAATTTAATTTACTCATTTCTAACGTCTGGACTTTTTTTTCCCCTCCTCTCCTGCGTCGTCCTCTCAGGACTACCTGGTGTCACTGGACAGTGGTGAGGACTTTGTCCGACTGGCCAAGGAAAAATATCCAAAGAAATGAGACGTGGAGAAACTGAGCGAAAAACATCCAGACTTTAGATTAGACCAGGAAATATAATCTACTGTGGAGCGACGCGGCGGCTGTATTTATTTTAAAAAGAAATAAAAACAATCTATTGTTAATTATAATAATTTATTTTCTGTTCATATTTTTCAGTTTAATATTTTTAACTCTATAAAAAAAGAAAAACTCTTTCTTACTCTGACACTAATAAAGTATTTTTTCTCGGAGCAGCAGCTCAAAGATCCTGATTCTTTTACAGTGATTCTCAACTTTGTCCACAAGAGGGCAGCATACACATGACATCCCTGAATGTAGTTCGTTGGAATCACATCGTGGAACTTGTGATTCACAAGTAAAGAAACGTTTTTCACTCCTTCAAAGTTGTTTTATGAGAAAAGGGAAGTGACGCAAGTCTGGAAATATAGTTTTTCAAACATCTGTGAAAAAGATTAAAAAAAACCAAAAATACTGATATTAATACAGATACTAATACTAATACTGAGAGTGAGACTAATTATCTTGATGTTTTCAGTTTGTTTTTACTGGACTGCAGACCATTTACTGTAGATCCTACGTGGTTCTCACACACACACACACACACACACACACACACACTCACAGTAAAGAGAGTTTATTCTGACCTAGATATTGTTCTCGCCAAAGTTCCTGTCGAAGTCGGAGAAACAGATGTGAACTTGAAGAAGGGG